CTCTAGTGAGATTCCTTCATGCTAAAGATTATCTGCTTTTTCTACCTACAACTTAGCTATTTTAAAGATTTTTTTATACAAGTCAAGTCATACACTACAAGTATTTGCATCTATTTTTTTTCTACTAAGTATTAATTTTCTAAGATTCTGCCATTCCTATTAGTCTATTCCTTTTGGTTGATATTGTTACCACTTCATGCTTATCTTTTCACTAGTTGATAGGTACTTGATTTGCTTACAGTTTTGACTATTATGATTGCTATGGATATAATCTGCATACAAACTGGGCATATTTTCATTTCCCTTAATAATGCCTTAAGTTGTAAGGATTTTAATATGTGCTACATATTATTTCTTTGTCGTGTGTATGGGTTGCATTTTTTCTTCCATTCTAGGACCTAGCTTTATCTCACTGATGAAAAATTAAAAGCGCAATTTTTCATTTTAAAAACTCGATTGCTTTTCTATTTTCATATTAAGGAATCTGTACCAACTTAAATTCACAAGTTTTTCTCTTATTCTAATTTAATTCTTCAAATTCAAACTGTTATCCAACTTGAATTACTATTTTTAAAATTGTGAAAGGAAGGTTTCTAGTTTTGCATGTGGATAACTAGTTGTTCCAGCATCAATTGTCAGAAAGATTACCCTTTCTGACACACACACAGTCTTGATCTTTGCATGCAAGTGTAATTTTTTCCCATGATCTATTTGTCTTTATATTTCTTACTTTATTGTCCTAATAGATTTCCAACATCATTGCCTTTCTTGCTGTCTTGGAGGGGGCAGCATTTGGGTTCTTACTGTTAGTATGGTATTAGTTATGGCCATTTGCCCCAGAAAGGAAAAGTTATTTTTGCATTGAAGCAATTAATATCATAGTTAATCATGGGATAAAGGACAAAAACCACAGGTTAAGTCAACAGATGTAGAAAATACTTTTATTCATGTTTCAACCGAACAAAATGAGAAAGTAGAACTAGAAGGAACACATATATCTAGTATCGTACTAATAGCAAAAGACTAAATTATCTTCTCTAGAGTTTGAGGACACAGCATGGATGACTGCTCACACCACTTAAGTTCAGTACAGTACAGGTGGGAAGTTCTACACAGGTTATTGTTTTATTATTACAGTATATATGCATCTTGTTTTGGAGCATGTGAATTGTACTAAGACCAACAACTATGAATTATTTTCTTAACCTAGAATTATCACTGATGAGGTTGGGCCTTTTTCCTTTTAGTATTGTGTATGTGTTTAGTAACATATAACATAAAAACAAATTTTAGTTTATATTTCATGGCCCTGACTCCAGCCCTTCTTCCCTCTGCATTGCTGCGTAGTCTTCTTTCAGTTCTTGGAGCACGGAAGTCCTTTTGTACTTCTTGGACTGCGCTTGTGCTGTTCCTTTTAAAGGAAATTCTCTTATTTTTTTAATGACTAAGTCTTTTTCAGGTTACTTAGATCATAAATTTAATTTCCTCTAAGAAGCTTTTCTTTATCATTTTATACTAAATAGCTTCCTCTACTTGTTTTGTTTTATGCCTCATTCATTCTGTTTGTTTTCTTTTATTGTTTGTTGATTTTTGGCTGAATCTCTTGGGGGCTGTGGTTATCCTATTCATATTTTAATTTCAGCACACAGTCTAATTTGTTTCAAAGTTCATGTGATTCAAATGAACAGTATCATGTTTTCTTAGCGTATTTCAGGTTTTTGTCATCATTTAGCATTCTTTAACATACATTCATTTTACTTATTGCATATATTTCTGAATGTAATTATGATAATTATTTAAAATTCTGTTCCCATTGTCATAATCAAAGCACAGCTAATAGCTTTGGTCTCACTGACTTTATGTAAGACTGATTTATCCGTTTATTAATATAAAAATCTTGTAAGTATGCCATGATGTAGTTTAGGTATATTATCTTGTTAATTTTTCTTATCTTAGAGTGGGTAAGATACTGTAGTGTAGAGATCAGCTATTACATCATTTTAGAAAGTAGCAAAATAAGACACAAATCATGGGCTTGCAGTATTTTTAACTCCTTACATGGGAAACGTAGACTCCTGAAGCTGTGAATTGAGACTGTTGTAGATGGTAGTGCTAGGGAAAAGTCAGTGTTTTATGTTTTGGGTGACTGCCAAGGCTCTGAATTCTGATTTGTTTCGCTCTGTCTTTATGTAAAGAATGGCCAGGATTTGAGTTCCAGATCAGCCTATTAGCTTTGTGATTTAGGATAATCTAAACTCAGTTTCTTGACTACAACATTGGGATAATCGTGGTCACATCATTGGATTCTTTTAAAGGTCAATTGCGTGAAAGTTTTAGCTTCGTGTTTGAGGCGTGGCCGCTGCTCAGTGCAATATTGCTTTGTTACCTGTCCAGACTCCTACGCCTGAGAGACTGATCGGAGTAGCTGTGAAGGGTTTCTTTACAGATAATGATGCTTTGGAATATCATTAGTACACATTGACCAGCTCTGTACTTCACTAAAGATGCTTGCTTTTACTCTCTACAGGGCTTGGTGGTTGTCTTCTTAGAATATACTCATTTAGGGATTATGTCATTACTGGTTACTTACAACAGAAAAGACTTGACCCAAAAAGTAGTATGCTAATATCCCTGTCAAGTTAAAGGATTACTTTCTTGTTTTAACTTTAGAAGAGAAGGTACTATTGTGAAAGAAAGAATGAAATTGAAAGAGTACAGTTCAAGGGTTTCGGTAGAGTGTTGTTACAAAGGAGAAAGATGGACTTGCCTTGGGTATAGCTTCCTGCTTGGGCTTTGGCAATTGAGGAATCCCAAGGTCCTTGGCACATTCTAATAGTAATTCTAATGCAATTGTAAAACTGGTTACTTTTATGTTCTTGTGCACATCACTTTCTTTTAAATAACCAAGAAAAGTGATTGTGTCCTACGCCTCTGAAATTCTATTAGAATTTGTAGGCAAGTCAAGTCATACTTGACCAGTGTCCATTTTCTCCTCTGTAAGACAGGATGACTCCATCTGTTCATTTCACTGACGTCAGAAGTCGCAATTAGATCAGGCCCGTGAAAGTGCTTTGAGACTGGTGAAGCAGGGAGCTTCCTTGCTGCTGGCTCCTGTCTGCCCTGACCATCCGGCCTGCTGAGTGGGCCACGCCTAGAGGCAGCCTGATAGTGCAGAGCTGCATCTGGAGGACGTAGTGCCCACGAGAGGAGTCGGTTTTGCGCTTACACTTGTCCTAGGATATAGACAGTTTTAAAGTGTTGCTATTTGTATTCCTTGCTTCGTTGGAAAAACAGTGTGTTTATTGTAGAAAAGTTAGGAAGCAGTTCATGTTTGTTACAGAGAAATTAGGAAGTATGAAGCAGCAGAAAGCAAAATTAATTTTAAATGTAGAGATAATTGTATTTTTGTATAATTGTGAACATATAT